ATGGATCGTTGGCCAACAGATTCCAAAGATTATGACCATTTGAATTTTTAACCATTTGTTCCTCTAACAATTTACTATTACCAACTAAACTACCTAACCATAAGTCTAATTCTAAAGGTTGTTAATAATCAACTAATAACTTACCAAAAAATTTATTTACCTATTCTACATAGTCCCACTCCTAATTGTGCAGCGCCCTCGTAAATATTATTTAACCTCAACATATAAAGACGTTGGCTTTAGCAGCGTTGGCTTCTTCAGTCAATGGCATTGACTTACTACCCTTTGAATTGGTGACCTTCTCCTCTGTTACATCTTTATCATCTACCTTGGTGTTCGATGGTTCTCCATCCAAACGCGTCGTCAGATCTTCATTCAATAAATCCAATTCCCGTACCTGAGACTCAAGACAAGCAATTTGGTTGTCGTACTTTTTTAACATCTTCTGCCATTATTCTGTCGATTTCAAAGGTATCTCCGAAGGTGTTGTCGCTGAAACTAGAGTATTGGTCCATACTAAATTATTGGCCTCCTTTGCTAATGCAGCTAGTTTAGTCTACAACATCGCAACTTCTACCTACAGCTGCTCTTGCCATTCCTTCCAATCGATCTTTATCCTTGCTTTCTCAAACACCATGTTTGCCATCTTCTCCTTTTCCGCCATCCACTTCTCCTTAACTACAAAAGAAAACATGATACTTGTCAAGAATTCCCCTCCTACTTCTTACTATGGTCCAATCAATTGGATCAACTCTCCTTCTTGTAACAGAAAACTTGTCCCAGATTTATGTATAGTAAAGTTTAAGCCGATTGCTATTGATCCATGTAGTAAATTTAGTATCCATAAAATATTCTAATTACACTAAATCATTTGGAAATCCGTCAATAATTCGATATGATCTATGCCATCAAATTTAAAATTTTTCTAGAAAATTTTTAAATTGACAATCATTAAGTATCAAATCATTTGGCATAAAAGCCTTTGGTCTAAGCTTACTATCATAATAAGACTTCCTTCATTTTTGTGTAATTTCCATTATCATTAATTTATTGGCTCTAATTTCATCCAATTTTTTCAATTCTTCTAAATGGTGCCGTAATGAATCATGATCTCCCAATCTATTATCTATAGCAATTCGTAAACTTTGGACTTCCAATTCAATAGGTAATATTGCTTCTTCACCATAAACCAATTCAAAAGAGGTAGCATTGGTAATAACTTTATAAGTAGTACAGTATGCCCATAAAGCTGTGAACAACTTAATAGCCCAATCTATTCCCGCTCCTAAATCTGTTTTTGTTAAGATTTTATATAAAATTCTATTAGTCTTTTCCATTTGTCCGTTGGTTCTAGAGTGATACGGTGTAGTCTTCTAATGTTTTATCTCGTATTTAGCTATGAGTGCTTCGATTGTACTATTTATAAAATGAGTTCTTCGATCACTAACCAATTCTCATGGACAACCGAATCATATAATAATATTTTCATACAAAAAGGTTGCTACTGTACTTGCACTATTGGTTTTTGTAGCTACGACTTCAGCCTATTTTGTTACATAATCCGTTGCCACTAGTATATATCATTTTTGTCCATTTCTCGAAGCTCGTGCAATTGGTCCCACAAAATCAATTCCCCATTTTTCAAAAGGTGCTTGAGCCAGAATTGGTACCAATGGCATTGCTGAAGTGCCAATAGGTCGATCCGTTCTCTGACATGGGTCACAATGACGGACGAATTGGTGGACATCTGCAAACATTATTGGCCACCAATAACCAACCTGTAAAGCTTTACGAGTCGTGTTGTCCCTCGCAAAATGTCCACCACAACTGTCCAAGTCGCAACCTTTCAATATAGTACTCACTTCACTCTGATAAATACAGCGTCGCAAAACTCCATCCTTGCTTTTTTTATATAAAGCTTTACCAATCATCCTATAAGGTGCATATTTTAATATTAAGCGTTGTCGTGTTGTGGTTTGGCTACTATATGAAAATAATGTAATTATATACTTAATATATAATTTATTAAGTAACATGGTGAGAACCATGTTAGTAGATTTTAGTTGGTTGTAGGATATAATTTGATTATTACTTTGAGAAGAGGTTGTTTAAAAAGATTACTATAGAATTTGTATAACTTTAATTTCTTTTTGATAGTGGCTTTTAAGATTGGTTTTGGTTGATAGTAACTTCTAAATATTTAGAGTCACCTTTCTTAGACATTGGTGACATTTAAAAACTTATTTTGGTTCTTTTATTTGGTGTTTAGACCATACATTATGTAAATCTTATTAAAAAACTTTAAATCCTAAATCCTAAGCAAATTCTAAATCAAACCCTAAATTCTAATCCAACTCTAAATCCTAATCAAATCTTAATCAAATCCTAAGTAAACTTTAAATCCTAAACTCTAAATAAATCCTAAATCAAATTCTAAATCCTAGTCCAATCCTAAATCCTAACCAAATTTTAATCAAATTCTAAACCCTAATCCAATCCTAATTCTAAACTGAATTCTAATCAAAACCTAACCAACTTAACCTAACTCTAGTACAATTTAGAACCTCAATATCTATTGATTAAACTAGTGATCTTTCTTAAAAATTTATATACTTCTCAAAAACTTTGTTAGCAAAAAATACACAAAATTTGAAGATAATTTCACTTACTAAATAGAAATAAAAATCCTAAAATCCGTTTGGGTATTGGCTGGCCTCCTACTCCAATCTAAATGTTGAACTTCTAGTGCCAATATGACATTTTTAAACAATTCAATTATTCTCAAATTTCACATATATGTAGAAAATCAAGTCTATTATTCTTACACATAAATTTCACTCCAATTCAATTAGTAGATTGCTAAAGATCTTAGAAATCTTAATTTCCTCTCAAAGTCCAATTTCTGAGACCTCAATCTACTTGAAATTCAATAACCTTCAATTCAACCATTTGATCAAGCTCAAAATTATAGCATATACTTTAGAAAACTATTCACATAAATCTTCAAAATTTGAACTAAAGATCTACTACCAAACTCACGATATTTTCTAAAACGTAATATCTTTTTTATTTTATAAATTCCAAAATCACACAAAACAATTGTGATTTTGCAAAACTCTTATAAAGTCATTACACACTCAAATCACTCAAAATCAATGCCTTAAGAAACCTTATCAAGTCTAATCTCAAATTCCACTTTTAGATCTATCCAAAGAACCTTAGTGTGGCTGTAGGTGCCTAATTTTGTGCCTCAAGGTTTGATTTCGACCTAGGTTGATAATTGGTCCTCTTTGGGTACAAAATTTTGTCTTTTTGAGTTAATTTTTATTTAAATCAACTCCTAACTTCCTCCTATATATGTTCATATCCTTTATTTTTTTAATCTACTTTGTTTTGCCTTATTTATGGCCTTACAAAATAAGTAGAAGCCTACTTTGCAAAAAGGTAGCATTTGCATCTTTAGTTTTATTTTCTTTTGGACTATTGTCTATCTTCTAAGATAATTTGCTACAATATTTGAAGTAAGATCTTCTATAATATAGTAATTTCTTCATCCCTTTCACCTATGAACCGTATTACATCACAACAACATTAAGAAGATGGAAAATCAATAGCCAATAGATTCAACTCAAGAGCTATCATTTGCTGACTTTTCAAACAAGACATTGCGATTATCACAGCCTTCAAAATGACGTAATAGGGATGAAGATCTTCAAGAACAACATGTTCTTCCTCAAATAGATGGTGAAATATTATGCATTTGATATTATAACCTGAGAAGAGATTCTTGATGTTTGGTGATTTTATTGGAGGTAGGAACAACTCTTGATACTATTGTAGAGTCTTACAAAGATATTGTATTTATTATCGTAGTAGAATCTTTCACATTTAGCTTCATACCATACAAAACATATATCATATCTCAAAGTAGACAGTTGTCCGCCAACTTTGCAGCCACTATATATACACCCTACTTCTAGTCCTTATCATCAATACCAGCACCTATATCTATTGATTAGACATATACAACCACAAATTTGACTTTGAATGAACGCAATCAACCTTACATGTTTGGTGTGGAAAGGTTGAACTTGCCTTTTAATGCCTTATTCTCTTGGGTAGCTAGCTGCACCAAAGGTCCATTCTTACTCATTTACTTCCTTCATACCTTTGTCTTACTAGAATTGTACAATTTTTTGAAATTTGTTAGGTCTTCTAGCCAGCTGATAATTGTGGCATATTAATTTATACCAAAATGACCTCCTTTGCCATTGTCTAGGATTTGGAACCTTCTTCAAAGGCATAATAAATAGTACAAAAGAGTGAGAAAGCTTGTTCTTAAATGTTAAGACAATATGTCAGATTGACTTGATATCACTTGATACATCACCAAAATATCATGTGATATTTCAAAAACTTGAAGGGGGTAATAAAGTTTGAACAATGATATTTGAAGAGGTGCTATTTTGAATGATCTATGATATTTGGTTGGCCAAAAACATTAAGTTTGAATCCTCTTATTAATTCCATCAGTCTTAAATCACAAATAATTAAATTTAAACTCTTGAATAATAAAAACTAGTTTAATAAAAACTAATTTAATGAAAACCAGACACCTTTATTTGAAACTTTGATTGACATTGACCATTATTTTGATCAACTTTATAAAATGAAAAAAAATTAAAATTACTTTCATTTCACATGATCAACCTCTCTTCAAGTATTACAATTTGATTTTGCTTACAATTTGTTCAAGCATAATTGACTAAAGCAATTATCCAATTTAAAAAAATATTTCAATGTTCCATCACATATTTTACTATCAAGTTTTAGTCCTTAGGTAATTGTTTCACAAACTTCATCACCTCCGATAAAACTTATTGCAGCCCACACTCCCCATCAATGTTTTGTCAAGCTGAATAAAAAACCAGCTCAAATGTTTTGCATGTTTATCATCCAACACAGTATCTATCGATAGATGTGACAAATTCATCCAATTGTCTGCTCAAATAATATCATATTACTAAGGTAGTAAACATCAAATGCATCAGTTCTAAGGTTGTGGACATTTTAATAGCTCAAACCAAACTGCTATGTATGCTAAATCAAAAAATCTCTACTCCAGATACACTTTTGAATTAAGTGATAAAAGGAATTGCTACAGCATGTAATCAACAGTCCATTTAAACAAAAACCAACTGCTCTTTTAGGCAACTGAGAAACTACTTAAAACTTGAATACCTTACAAAAATTCTACAATCCCCTCAGAGACCACTCACCAAATATCAAAATGCAGAAGCAGAAGAATATCAGTTAACCTTCTACGTATTGGTATCCCAGTAACAAAGCTCTAGAACGAATAGAAACTCAACTGAACCTCCATTCAAAGAAAGTTTGAGTGAAGTTTGACTAGTTAGTACACCTGAACTATCACTTGCACGAGTACAAAGCATTAAGACAAGTCGTAGTACTAAAATAGAACTCGACATAAAAGTGTAACATAATTACGAGCTGCATTCCTGTCTAAAAAGCTTTCCAGCCATCAGATACTTGCGACTGTTTCGCACTGAAAGGTCCAGACGCTGAGAAAATATCTGACTCATCATCAGAGTGAAAGCCACTGCCCTTAGCTCCATCAGCATGAACGCTGCTGAATGAGTCAAGTCGATTAAAAAAATTACTGGGTCGGTCCTCACCTGTTCTTGCAAACAAAAAACTTACATAAGGTACTTAGAAAAATCAAATACATAAGGTGGATTGATAAGAAACACCATCGGAATAAATAAATTAAGGTGGTGATGCACTATCTACTAACCTGAAGCTCTGGTTGGGGCTAAAGGACTTCCAGGTCCAAAAGAATCAAATCGCGAAAAGCTCTTGAAACCATCATCCTGCTTGGAGGCTCTAGGGCTGCCACCGAACAGTGAAGGCAAAGAAGCAGCTTTAGGACTTAAATTTCCACCAAAAAGTGATGAATTCCTGTTGGAATGCTTTGAACCGAAAGCCCTAGAGTCAAAATCATGACTATGACTAGTTTCATTTCGTTCAAAGACCCTTGTAGGGCTAGAGGTTCCATCGATGCTTGAAGTTCGTGGCGAGCCCAAGTCAAAAGAACCCTCTTGCCCAAAAGAAGCTGATGATTTGCTGAATCGCGTGGCACCTCGCGAGTTTGTGACATCAAGAGATGCCTGCATACATAAACAGAAAGAATAAGCAATCCCTGAAACCTACGCATTCTGAAGTAGCAACCTAATAAACACTTACCTCAACATAATGCACACTGAAGAGACTACAAACTGCTTACTCTGGATCAGCATAAGACAACTTTCCGTGAGAAGTTAAACTTTCTTCAAAAAGTGATATTCAAAATTTGACAGAATTAAATAAAACAACTCTCGAGCATAGAATTGTAAGAGTGTTGCAAAACAATGCCAACCTGAGTGCTAGGCGGATTACTCTGAGAACTCCATGAAGCTCGGGGACCTATATCTGCATCATCATCATTCGATCCAAAACCCCAAGAAGATCCTATTCCAGCAAACGCATCTGGTGTGAAAGACCCACGTCCAACTTCCGAACTGTACAAAACAAGCAAAGATTTTTTTACTGGACGCAATGCAACATAGTGACTGTAAATAATAGCAAACTCAAGTAAAATACCACAATTCCGCATAAGTATGTGTAAAGTCAATAAGATACATAACATAGCAGCGAAGCTAAAAACACAAGCCAAAAACCACATATACCTGCTTGTGGGAGAGCTTGCAGCTGTTGAGCTGTTAAACAAGTCTGAGCCAAATTCTTGCGACTCTGTTACATTTGCATATCTATACCAACAGCAAGCAGGTACAAATTTCGAGTTTTGAATCAGAATTGATAGCAAGCTTATGAAATTTAGGTGGTCAGAACTGCAGGAAAAGTATAAATAATCCTAGACACAGAGGACATCAAGAGGTTTCAGAAAAGCGCGGATACAAGAGCACAGCTTGCAAGCAGCAGTTAACATGACTACAATTATCTAAAGTAGTATAAAAATTCTGCTACAACTATACAAGACCAGAAATAAAGTTTTCAAGCCTAGAATACAAATCGTAAAGTCACAATTAATGATAAATAACGTGCTATGTAATGAAAGCGAGGAAAAAGGATCATGCACCTTCCACCGGATTTGGTTGTTGGAATTGATGAGGTAGAGTCAGGTTTTATATCAGAAGGTTCCGCAGACGAAACATCACTTGCAGAAACCTCAGCCACAGCTCTTGGTGAGGCTTCACTAGGGTTTTGAGAAGTTTTATCTGTGAGGCCTGAGTCTGAATTAGAAGGAACTTCTATCTTATGATTGATGTTGCTATCTAGTGAATTCTCTTCTTCTTTCCCCAAACTGGCTGCAGCGGGAGCCTTTTCCGTAATGACCGTATCATCCGTCAGAGCTTCAACCACAGAAAAGTCTGCCAAGTGTTTGGATTAGTATCACAAAGAAACCTTCAAAGAAAGGTAGAAGGAGAATATAGAAAACTGAAAAAATAAATAAATAACAAATTCCGCTTTGATTGAGACAAGTCTAACCTCGATCCACCAGCGCATCCCATTCAATCCATTCAGCAGCTTTCTCTTGGGTGTTTTGCATCCAGCCTGATACACACAACCCGCAATCGTAAGACATTCCTTCATTACTGTAGAAGACATTTTACTTCGACCGAAAGCTCACGCAGTACACATTGCATATTCATAAAATCGTAAACCCACCGAAGGGCATCTCCTTCGGGATCTTCTGATTGACCTCCACACCTAGAAGTTGACCACGATCACGAAGTGCTTTCTTTAACTTATCCAAATCAGTTGCAATGTGATTTGCTCTTTTCTGCAATACAAGCGGTTACAAGATCACGATGATTTGAGGTCAAAATACCGAATAAATGTCTGATTGCGCAGGTTCTTTAAAGCATCTACGTCTCCTGCGGCAGAAGACTTCAAAAGACCAAAACAGACTTTTATTCTACCCACAAACATAAATGTCAGCATGACGGATCATATTTTGACTGATATTGTTATAACCATACAACCGAAAAGTCTCTTGGGCAGCATTGTCCGTAAAAAATGCACTTTTTGATGCTAGGTCCATGAACTCCATCGTCGCCCAAAGTGCCAATCAACAAGCTCATCTCAATAAAAATAAGATCTGAAACCTCTAGCAATGTAAATGCTACCTGAAGAAGAGCATTGGGATCACCACCATGTTCCATCTTGAAAAGAGCATCTACAAGCTCCAACTTCTTCTCCTGGATTATGCAGAAAAGTAGCAATCAATGAGGAAAATTCATCGTATAGAAAACACATCCCACCACATCGAGATTGTGGAATCATCCTGTAGCCCAGTACAGTTAAATATGTCGTTTCGTAAAAGTCATTTGAGCAAACTACCTGAGCATCTCGAAGATTCGCATTTTCCACGGCTAATTGAGCATTCACTTCTGCTGCAGCCTTGAATTTCTCATCATATTTTTTTGCCAACGAATCCACCTACAGCACACAGAAATTTTCAATAATGAGCAAGTAAGGGGTGCAACTTAAATTGTTGATGATTGTGATTGCCTAGCTAAATAACAGCGAAAAGTCCTGTATAAGATAAGTAAGCAGTCGCTCAGCGAAGAAAAAGAACAAAATGTTCACTTGAAGTCCTCTCAACCATGTATACCGTAGCTTCGCAGTAAAACATCACTACCAGAACAAACAATAAAACAATAAAACAATACATTCATTGGAGGTAAGCATGCAACACAAGCGAAATAACATAAAAGAAGAAATTAAACCAACCTCCCGCTTGTCTGCAGCAGCTTTCTCCGTTATCTCCGAGAGCTTATTGTCACAACGACTTTTAAACAAAACCTAGCGGATAAAAAGAAACTAATCTTTAGTAAGACTCTTCGTAAGATGAAAGTTCTATCCTAAAAGCGAACTCGAAAGATTAAACTATGCAGAGAAGCACATCAGATCACTTGTGATACGTTCGACGATACAAAATCCTCAAAACTTTAGTACTTTAAAAATGGCACTCGAGCACAAGATGAAAATTGATTATGAAGACAGCTCACAATTTCTTGGAGTTTCGTGCGATAATATGCTGATTTCTCTCTGTGATCCATCAACCTCCTATCTATGATAACCTGTTCATGAATAATAACACAATTAAAACATACTCTCTACTTACCTGAAATTTTATCAGACAACGAACTTACCACTCAACGAAAGAGACGGAAAGCAATTGGTTTTAACCAACATAACACGTATCAAGAACACATACATTCAAGAATTGTCTCAAGAGAATATTAAGCAGATCAATCTTTAATCAGGGATTAGCACGTAAAGCATAAATCTAGTTTACATACTTTATTCACGGGGATATCTAGGCTCCTTGACATGGTATTGGAAACAGGCAAGGCATTTGGGGCAGGCATAGAATTTGACACTTCTTTTTCAGATTGCTTTCTTTTATTCAAAAAATTGAATTCTCCAAAAGCATCCTTGGAGGGTTCAGCACCAGCTGCTCCACTGGATGTTAAGTTTTGGAGATGCATCTGCCCTGCTGGTGTGGTCAAAAGAGTGGGACGTATAGGACCAGGACCAGATACTGATCCAGATCCAGGGCCCATTTGTTGCAAATTTCCTACAACACGGCAAACATAATTTTCAGAGAAACAAACAAAACATGATCACCTGTAGAACTACAATCGGAAAAATTGTTGGAAAGATAGAACCTATGAATATGAACCACCCAGAAACACACAGTTAACCAGAGTTTCACAAGAAGACAAACTCTAGTAAACTGGTGAATGAACCTATATACGACTTTCTACGGTTACAAAAATCTCAGCGGAACAGCTCCCTTAGAATGATCAGAGAAGCAAGCACAATGAAAAGTGTATTCATTCTGAACATAGCTTAAAGTCCTATTAGAGTTGAAAAGCCAGCTCTACAGAACAGAATTAGGAAAAGATGAGTACAAACCTTCTTGTTGCCAGTTAGAAGCACCATAACCAGGACGCTGAGCTGCAGGCACCAGTCCTTCAGAACCACGGGGATCATCAAGGTGAATTCCAGGTGGAAGACTTGGAGGCAGAGGTCGACCCTCCCTAAAGCGCTCCATGAGATACAGCGCTGTGCAAAACTCACGTATTGATAGCATGCTGTCACCATCTTGATCAGAAAGATTCCATACCTGCTTGAGTACCTCTGAATTCACATCGAAAATTAATTGAATATCAGCACAAGGATAATTAAAAACATGCTTCGTCTAAGAGAAGTAAAAAATAAGAAATAGCTAAAATCTCACAATGCAACACCATATGTGGCACCTAGAATAATTGCAAGACTAGTGTAATTTCGTACAGTTCACATATTTTGACCAAATACAGTCCACTGCTTACGTACATACTTGAACAAATTGTATGAATGCAAGGTGCCGACGAAAGCAATCTCCAAGACATTATCACAAACTAACAAAGTAAGTCAAAACACCTCTAGGTAGTTGCCAGCCAAGAAAAAGCTGGCGAGCTTGCTCTCCTGTGATCTTCCCATCATGATCAGTATCCACCTCGCTGAACACACGAGTATATCGTTGAACATCATTTGAAGTCATCTGCGGCCATGGGGAGGTCACCCCGGGTCCACTCAGGGATCGTACACCGTACCCGGAACCAAAATCTGTTGTCTGTGAAACTCCAGAGGGTTCAGAACCTAAACTGGAGGACGAGAGAAGAATTGTAGGTCCTAGCGCCGTAGGCCCAACAGGATCTGTCCTGAAATATCAAAATATAAAAATGAGAATTGAGCTCAGATAAAGAGGGGTGTCTGAAACAAAAGGCAAGGAACATAAAATAGAAGACTCACTGGAAAATTCAATGGTTTTTAGAGTAATATTAGCTCCACAAAGCCAATCAAATCACCACTTGATTCTTCAAGCAGAGTCAAGTATCCAGAAGAGCAGGAAAACAAATCTTCAGATAGATAAGCCTTAACTAAGCGAACCTGAAAGTCTCTCCCAAAGATTGCAATTCAGGAGTAGACTTCGACTTCGGTGTAGGACCAGCCCCAGCGGGTCTTGTAGGTATTGGTGCTCCATAAAGATCCCCAAGACTGAAAGACCCCGGCCCAGACTTGAGACCTCCAGCCCCCGCTGCGTCAATGCATGACGGCATAGATTAGTTTAAAAAATGAGGTCGCGTGATGCTCAAAAGAAAAGAAAAATAAATTAATTAATTAATTAGCTTGAAGGCAGAAAACATGTAGTATAGAAGTAGATTTATCAAAAAGAATAGAAGTCCATGGCTTGCCACATATACTGAACAAGCATCTCCACAACTTTGGATTCACAATGTGACAGTCCTGAAATGACTCCCTCGATCCATTAGTTATCACATTTCCCATCAAAAAATTACCACACAACGAGGAGAGCACTGAAAAACTCCTCATGCATATTGAAGTAACCATATCTATTGGGGATAAGAATGGTTTGCAGAAACATACATGCTTGGACAGGTGGCACCTTTGTTGTACTTGGCAGAGAAGCTGCTGTAGATAGCATGCCATTAGGAGCGGTTGGTCTTGGCAATCCCGAAATGACAGAGGACTGTAATTCAACCCCAGTTGACAAACCGGGGCTGCTAGAGAATTGTGTTCCAGACGGTTGGGAGGAATTTCCCATCAGACCCCCCAAGGTAGGCCTGGTCTGTGTCATCCCTGGGGCAGCAGTAGAAAAACCAGGCCTAGGAGGCTGCTGCATCATTGATGCTCCTTGAGGCATACTTCCAACAGAAAGGAAACGACCTTGGGGTTGAGACATTTGTGGTATAGCACCACCCAATGATAAAGATTGTGGGTGTGCTAACCCTCCCTGTGAACCTAATTGTTGACCATAACCACTTTGTGAGGGGAATTGTTGGCCATAGCTACCTTGTGGAGCTGTGGGCGGAGTCTGAGCTGGAGGAGTTTGACCGAAATTAGAATGAGGTGGAATTGGTACATTGATACGTGGAGGGGGGATTATTGAAGCTGTTGGACCATTTAGGGCTGCCTTCACCAACTCTGGAGTAAGATCTCTCCCCGTCTGTGCAATAGTCACAAGTTTCAATGCATTGATAAACTCCTGCCGTGAAAGAAAGCCCGCACGGTTTTTATCTGAAAATTGCCAAATCTGTCAAGCATACACAAATGAGTGTTAAGACCCGGTCTTTTTTTAAAATTTTACGTAAGATATGTAGCCCGCCACTGCCTGTACTCGTACCTCGTGATTGTTCGTCCCTCTTAAAGCCAATTTGTACAAGACTCTCCAGAAAATTCTCAAATGAATGTGAATATCCTAAAACAAAATTTTGTATGACAGCGTCAAAAGTCCTAAAGATTAAGTTAAACGATATTTTAGATGTCCAGTGAGGGTAAAACAATGTAGACAGCTATTCATGCGCCAGTACGGTTGGGTTTATACTAAGAGTGCAATAACTCAATAAATCGTTAGAAAAAAATGTTAAAAACATGAGGCTATAAAAATTATAGCTCTTATGCTAATAACATGAGGCGCCCGTTATTCAGCTAATATTCCATACAAGTTGCTTGTTAGCAAATGAGTCGCTTCATCTCAGGCTCGTGAATCGGCTTGAGACCAAGGTGAGAAGGAATACAAATAAACTGTTCCAAAACTGTGACATTCTCCTATACACGAGAGTTCTGTATTTGTTAATTATGCTGAGAATCCTACTAAAATACTCCAATTTCCTTGAATACTTTCCCAAACAATTCCATCGTGCCTCTCGACCTTCAATAAACAGCTCAATTGGCATTTCTAGTAGATCCAAGTGACTCAGCTCAGGATGCACCATGAAAACAAGTAACAACCGCACACCTTGGCAAGAGTAGCTTGCGGCAGTCCGGAGCCCTGAAAAAATCCAACGGCCTCAGTGCCACTAATACGACCATCGCGGTCCAGATCCGCCCTCCGAAAGAATGAGTCGAACACCTCAGCATTGGCCATATCCCTTGATCTGTAATTACAGAATCACTTCCACTCTCAAACCAGGTGGTGTAAATCAGTATTAGAGCTATAATATGGTCGCCCGGACTGAATGCAATAGAACACGCTTATCCTGGAGAGAATCGAGAGCGCAGAGTTGTGCACAAAACCGAATACAACAGTTGCTGACTAACCCCGCTTCAACTTCAGCTCCGCAACCCTAGTTATAACTTTCAAAGATACCGACCTGCTGACGGAGTCAGCTAATGGAAACAAGAAGCTCGAAAACTCATCTGAGCAGAAAATTCGCTCTCCCCAACCCAAGGAAACGATACTTCGGAACTGCAATAACCTAGAACTCGCCACACAACATCACATGACATCACGGGTCTTCCAGTCCAAAAATGCAAGAGCGAACCCTAACTGCATCTAGGATGCTCAATGCCGATCGGTCATCCTCACCAGGATCTTGTTCGCTGGAGCTAATCCTCTATATCTGCAGCTCAACTCCCCTTTCAGATTCGCTCGGTGCAACGACGTCACATCTCCACAATCATACAATTACTACACGTATCCCGAATCCGCAACTGCATCAACTCACGCCTGCGAGTAAATACTCCCTAAGCCTCAGAGATACCGAAACAAAACTCTGCGAAAAAATGCTCTCAAGTTTCAAACATGCCCGCTACTGCAATCGAAACAAAGCTAATAATCCTAATCTCAACAAGCATATCACTACGCGGGGCCAAATTCTCTACGAACTACAAGACAGAACTAATAAGAACTCTAATATTCATCCCTGCCGATGTGGAGTTGAAGAACACCAGCGACGAGTAGCCGTTTCGTGTAATCCAAGGTGAAGGGATCGAGAAAGCGGCGCCATAGCCGGGAGGACCCCTGCTGGAAATAAGGATGAAAAAGCAAAAAACAAAATTAAAAAATAAAAAACAAAAATAAAAATAAAAGGACTGCGATGACGACGACCACGACCACGACCAGATCGGAGATGTGATTGAAACCTCACGAAGGAAATTTGGTATTTTGAAGATTTGAACCACAATCTAGAAACATTGTTTGTGATCCAATTATGAATTGGCCCATGAGGTGATGGTATTCTGATGGTCCTCTGGCAGAGAATGAAGTTGGTCCTATGGACGTTCTTAAAGTCCTCTGAAAAGTTCTTGCGAATGTCCTGTTCATGGACGCTTATATGCTTAATATATGTAATACTAGCAGAAGAGTCCTTTGAGTAGCTTTTGGACCAAACAATTACTGACTTGTGCGCCGCCAAGTAGAGCTCACATTGCAGGAAGCGAAGCTCACAGAGCAATGATCCTCGCAAGGTTCGCTACAACTTTTCATTCTGTGAGAGTTCTTCTCACCCTATTTCTGAAAATCATCACAGTTCAGTATTGAAATAAAAAATGGTTCACACTTCCACTGACTGGTTTCAAAACAAGATAGCATTTCAAATGTTTACCAAGAAAACCCAAATGAACTTCTACTAATCACAATCTTTTGGTATTCTGAACACGACTAGTTCTCAGTAGTAGTGCCATACTGAATTTTTACGACTAAAAATCAAAACATAGAAACATGCACAAACAATACAGACTGAAGAAGGTATGAAATCCAAGAGAAAGAGGAGATTGGTAGAGACCGATACTTGAAGTAAATATTAGTTTCTGGTTCAATGAAAACATCAATTGAGGAGCTGCAGAGTAAGTGTAAGGCTGTGAATGCTGACCGCATTCAAAGCGACCATAGGATTGATTTCAAGCGCGATCATAGTTTTATCACCGCCAACAGACGCATCAGCGTGGATAGCTAAACGCATCAAGCAACAAACTACTCCTGCATCAGATTCTATCAAATGAATCTTTGCTGAAGTTTTGAACACAGCTCAGGAACTTCATGCGCTGCAGCAAGCAGGCAAACCAAGTTGACAATTTCGTTATGCAGCTTGGAATGGTGCGATCAAGGCGGCCTATACAGCATCAGCGTGGGCCTCGTGGTTCTCAACTTCAACAGCAAGTTAAGGTACGTGTGGCGGGGCCACCGGAGGCCCTCCATAGAAGAGATAATCGATCTCACCAGGCAGGAAGGTCAGACTGGGTTCAAGAGGAAGAATTGGGGGAATCGGATTGGAGCCCATCGGGACGGATTCACTCAGCAATTCACGATGGCTACGCATTTTCTGAAGCCAAATCAATGCAAGTAGAAACTGCACTCACTGAACTGAAGATACTGCGTCGCATCAAGCTCGAGACATAAACCAAATACTGGTCCGAAAAATCAAACTATATCCGCAAAGACAAATTTTCAGCCTTGATCGACATTTCTACTTAAACTACTGACTCGACATTCCATGGAGTGCACACGGGTTGGGGGAAACCCTACGGTACGGTGTGAACCGGTGCAGGGGAGCGTGGGGGGAGCGAGGGGAAACCTCGCGGTGCGAGCATGGGAGCGCGGGGGACGTGATAGGGGCAGGGCATAAATCTTCACCGACTGTTTCAACCCAGCCTGATTCACATCGCAGCCGAATTGCTAGATGGATAGAGTTCTGTGATCTCACAGCGCAGCCTCATGCTAGATGGACAGAGTTCTCTGCAAGGACCTCCGTCGGTGTTATTGGGCACCGTTCACACTGCAGCCTCATGCTAGATAAAAACAACTCCCTTCATGGAGGTTCTGTGTTCACACTGGGACCACTTTCAGACCACAGCCTCATGCTTGACACACTTTGTATTCATATTTGAAGAGTAATACAATGTAACATCACGAATTATGTCACCAAAATTTTAAAATTAATATTATTCAATTTTTGAAATACCTTCATTATTTCTTTTATTTTTTTAATAAAAAATAGAAAAAAAAGCATAAACAAAGATCAATAATCTAAAAAGAAAAAGCAAATAGTAAAACCAAAAAACAATAGAATGTATAATTGTGTGATTTAGCTTGCTAAATGGGCATCCTCTAATGCATATATATATATATATATATATTTATGTATATAAATTCTTCTTCTATTTGTTTGAATAGCAAATATATTTTTATTTGTGAAATCATATAAAACTTATCAAACATATTTTAATGTACGACATCAAGATGGTCTACATCCAACATATTCTTTGACTATTCACTTTAAATAGGTTATTGATTTGGTCATTATGCCAATTAGCTTGTAGAAATTGAAATATTTGGTCTTGATTCATGAAGATTTATCAAACCAAGTAAAAGGTAGAGCATTGAGAACAAAGTCTATAGAAGGAATTTGTAGATTTTTACTTGAAGATGTTATTTGTCGTGATGGATAAGTAAAAAAAAAAAAAAAAATGCATATTGTGGAGAATTAAATATACAAGAAGCTTGTGATTTCTTTGAAAGATGTGGAATTAAGTTATCATTGACTATTGCTTATAATCTTAAATGTAAAAAGTGAACGTAGTCATTTGTCAATTATAAAAGTATTAATTAAAGCTTTTAATAGAAAGGTTAAAAAATGGCCCTGAATTTTGTCATTGGCATTATGGGCTGATCAAATAACTCATAGTTTGGTAATGAGATATATACTTATTAAGCTCATGAAAGGTCAAAAATCCATTATGCCAATTGAAGAAAAATTACTTACTTCAAATATGCTACTATGGGAACATAAATTGACAAGAGAGTAACTTTTAGCTATTAGAATTTAATAACTTAAGCAAAGACCAAAAGTTGTACAAATAGTATTTGAAAGATTATAAAAAATAAGATTATAAAATAAAGCACAATTTGATAAGCAACATTGATTAAGTCTTAAGGCAATTGAAAAAGGTGATTGGATTTTGGTCTATGATAGTAGCTTGGACAACCAACATAGTATTTTATAGATTTTTTTTTAATGACAGTTTGGACCATATGTGGTAACAACTGTATGTCACGGATAAACAACTGAAGGAGGTTCTAGAAGGTTCTAAAAAATACCAGTAGGTTCTAAGAAGGCTCTTGAAGATTCTAAGAGGTTCTAAAAGTTTTCAAAAGCTTCTAATAGATTCTAAGAAAGTTCTAAAAGATCATAGGAGGTCCTAGAAGGTTCTAGGAGGCTTTAGATGATTTAAGAAGTTGCTAAAGAAGGATCTTAGGCTTCTTTTGTTTTTAAGCTTCATAGAAACTTCTGAAGAAGCTTTCTAGGACCTTGTATATATAAGAGTCGAGCTTGAGGGGATCCTCAATTTCGACAACTTACTTCTTATAATCTAGTTGGAATCTTCTTTCTTTATATTCAATTATTATTCTAATATCGAGATTTATTCCATTCTTTAGTCTTGAATCCTTGTCTTCTATTTGATCCCTAACAGTTTGTCGAGACTGCCATAAAACAATATTAGGAGCTTGGTGTTTCTTGATAGAGAGTGGATTATCCTTCTTCTTAGAAGTACTATAGCATTCTAGAGGTTGCAGATTATCCTCCTCTAGACTAATATTATTCTTAACTTAATATTCTTTTGATTTCTTTTCTTTGTATCATAAATCAAGTTTTTTTTTTTTTTTTTTTTTTTTTTTTTAAAGGCATGTCTTTTTTTGATTTTTTATGGCAGAAAGAGGAAAAGTTAATATGACAGACTCAAAAGAAATTAAGTTAGGTTCTATTATTAATACTCTTGAAGCATTGAAGATTATGATAGAGACTTTGTTGAAGCAGAATGAAGAACTATATATGACCATATATAATGGTCAAGGAGTCAGAGTGTCTCAATAACCACATCAAATCACAACAAAGGTTTCAAATTTTCAAATGACTATGTCTACTTCAAATATAGGAGGTGTATCTACTTAAGGTAATGATCTGACAACAATAACAACAAAAGAAGCAAGGATTAGTCTTCCAAGAAAGTTCAATGGTAATTGCTCAAAATTTTGTGGCTTTGCAAACTAAGTACAACTAATTAAGTTACTTCAACCTCAATGATATTCTATTGAAGCATCTCATGTTGATTTGATTGGAACCTTATTCTCGAATCAAGCTTTATCCTAGTTTGTCCCATTATTTGAAAATAATTCTTCTATATTGTACTACTTTGAAGCATTTTTGGCAGTACTTGTAGAATTATTTGGTGAACATGATAAGGTTAGTTCTTCAACAACTAAAATTTGAAGCCTTCAACAATGAACGTGCTATGCATCAATATATGCCTCAAATTTTTGACAACTAGCATGTGATATAAATTGAAAAGAAGATGCATTGATGAGTCAATTTCATTGGGGATTAAGAGACAATATCAAGGACTTATTATTGTATATGCTAGATCCTCTAACACTCAATGAAGCCATTAATTAAACTGTAAAGAATAAAAATCATTTATTTCAACAATGTTAAAATAAATGTTTTGTAATTCCATCACATATATATACCAATTATTTTGTAGCTTCTTTGTTATCCAATTTTAAAAAGCAATCGGAAGCAAAAGATATGTAAATGGATGCAGTTCACTTCAAACCTCTTTTTGAGCAAGAAAAAAAACATCAAAGGTTATTTGGCATATACTTATATTGAGAAAAATATTTCTATAAGGTTAATAATTGTTTAGAGAAATGCCAGCGTACATATAGAATAAGGAGTGTGACTACATCATCAAAAGCATTGTAGGAAAAAAAGGGCATCCAACCACAATAGAGACAATGGGATTGGTGTCACGGACACAAAATACAAACTTGAAATCTAATAAGAAGTTCAAGAAGAAGTGGCAGAACTAGATTAAACAGATGAGTACAAGAACAACACCAAAAAGGTGGGCTAGAACTCGAAGAGATGTGTTGTCGAGACTGAAGTACTCTTCAGCCTCGACTCCTATATATACTACTGGCCTATGGTTCTAAGGAAGCGCATCAAGAAGCTTCCGAAGAACTATGAAGCTTCTCGAGCAACTACCCAAGAGTTAGGAAGCTTCTCAAGTAACTTCCTAGAATCTACTAGAATATTCTAAGAATCTTCTAGAGCCTTCTAAGGGAATCTTTAGGGAATCTTCAAAGAATCTTTAAGGAATCTTTGAAGAATATTCTAAGAGAATATTCAAGGAATCTTCTAGAAGTTTCTAGAGACTTCTTTCTAGAAGGTTCTAGAAACTTGTCTCTAGAAAGGTCTAAGGACTATGTCCCTAACATCACTTCCTCCTTTAGCTTCGAGGTCTCCGAGAAGCAATGTTATCGTCAGTCAATACCAACGCAAGAAAATGAAGATCTGTCGCATAACCTCTGCTATGAACTTCAATTGTTGTTCACGAGGCAAGTGATTCAATAGTCCTTGAAGTCAACGGTAGTGGCCCACGCCTTCAACTTCTGACCAAGTATGAACCTCCATGTCTTCATTGTGAAATTGTCCTGCAAACACTCCTTCTGGCTGACCATTGTAGGCAGGCTCGACCTCAAATACAATCACCAGCGATCTGTTGCTCGGAATCCTTCAACGTCGTCGTGGTGCAGGCGGTTCTTCATCTCGCGATCGTCTTTGTGAGCTAATTGCTTGAGATGACATGACAAGTGTAGTATCTTGGCTATCCACATTCAAAGGCTAAAACAATAAGAACAAGCTTGGGCTACTAACAAAGCTCTACGCTATCTTGGAGAGAATGACTACATCAACTATGGATTTTGGTGGTGCTCTCTCCTCTTTTCTGTTTTCTGGATGAGCAAGCTTCAGTAAGAAGCTATCGTCGAACCGGCTTGGGTTTCTCAGGATATCGTCGATGAAACTCCTGTACCTTTTGTGGCACATTCGCGAGATTTTTGGCCGGCTCCCATGTTCGTTCATTAATATCGTAACCGCTCCAATGCACAAAGTATTCTAATTTACCCCGTCTTTGCCGTGAATCCAAGACCTTTTCCACCTCGTATTCTTCGTGGTTCTCTATTTCTATGCTAGGTGGTGGACATTGTACTCTTCCAAGAAAAGACGATTCTCGATAAGGCTCCAATAAAGAAACATGAAAGACAAGATGTACCTTCATAGTAGCTGGTAACTCCAAACGATACGCTACAGGATTGATCTGCTTCTGGATAACAAATGGTCCCAATCTCTGATAGTCCAATTTGTCACATGGTCGCTTGGTCTTAATATTTCGTCGAAGCAGCCAAACTTTGTCTCCAATCGTGAATTTAGGTGCCTGATTTCGAAATTTGTCCGCGGACGCCTTGTAAGATTCTTGGGCAGTTTGCAATTGAAGCTTCAATGTAGTTTGAAGCTGCGAAAGCTCCTTCACCAATCCTTCAGCTGCCGGATTGTTAATCGTTGACGAACTCCATAAGTCAAGCTTCGGATGGTATCCATAATTGGAAAAAAATGGCGTTTGTTGAGTTGACGCATGAAGGGTGTTGTTA